AATGACAACCACTCAGGGGTGGCTGGTAAGGGTTGTAAAAAAGATTTTTGCCTTAGCCCCCAATTTTAGGGGTTCCTTATTTTTTAGTTTATTAGGTAGGATTAAACTAAAAAAATAATAGTTAGAATTAAGACTCCAAATCCAAACGGCATTAATGAGGTGATTTGATATGACTATTACTTTTTACCTTTCCAATAAAGTATGTACTTTCTTTTAAGGCGGAATGAGCTGAAAGACCATTATACTTAACTCTATTTGTCACCTAGACCATTCTACTCGCGACTTTATCAACTGAACACTTACAGTTATTAAAACACACTATTTTAAACCCCTTTGACCGTTGACTAAGCTTATGTGGCCTTTTTTTGCTGAATCAGATCAAGAGCGTGGTTACACACATTTAAAAGCAAGTGAAGACAATTATTTAAATTTTAACAAATATTTAAATTAAAAGAAAAATATAACAATTTTAAAAAAAAATTTAGTGAAGACAATTATTTAAATTTTAACAAATATTTAAATTAAAAGAAAAATATAATGATTTTAAATTATTTTTAAAAAAAAAAAAAAAACTCCATTCCCAATATGCTGTACTTTCTTCTTCCTCATAATTTCACCCAACACCCACCATCACCACACACACATCTTCTTCGATTTCTTCTAATGTTCTTACACATAATTCTTCCTCTTTCTCTTCTCATATGTTTCCTATCATTTGAGAGTTCTACAATGATTGAGGAACAATAAATTTATTTAGATTTTGGTAGAAGAGAGGGAAAAAAAAAGAGGTTCTAAATTGTGAAATAGATACGGATTTTAGATGGATTTTTGAAAAACATATGTTTGATTCTTTCTAAATGTAACACAATTTTATTGAAAGCATTTTGGAAGAGTTTTTCTATAATGACCTATTTTTGGTCTCCTTCTCTTCTTTCTCTCATCCTCCATTTTAGACACTTTATTTCTCACCACCATTAAAACAACAAAAATTATAATAATAAAAAAACATAACAAAGCTTTGTTTATCTCTAATTTCTCTTCAACGTAAAAAAATTCACCAGGAAAGAAAAAAAATGAATGATAACATAAAATCTAAGTAATGATTAGTAGCAAAATAGATGAAAAATATGGCAAGAGAAGAAAAAATGGAAAGAAATCAAGAAAGAAAGGATTTTGGAGATTAGTTTGAGATTTCTTTTTAAAAATATTATTTGTAATAAAAAAATGACATGGCAATATATATCTGATGTGGATAGTGAGATGTTATCCACATCAGCGCGATTGAGAGACACACATGATCAGAGGGGTTTAAAATAGTGTGTTTAAATAATTTTAAGTATTCAATTGGCAAAGTGCCGAGTAGAAGGGTCTAGATGACAAACGAAACAAAGTATAAGGGTCTCTCAGGTCATTCTGCCTTCTTTTAATTGTACACGTTATCTTCTTCTTTTTTTACCTTATTCTTTTTCTAATTATATTTTTATATATTCTATCATTGTCTCTTCCTCTCTTTATTTTTTCTCACTTTCTCTTTTCTAATCTTACATCTCTCTCTTATTCAAAGCTTAAGAATTTACTTGTTCTATTGATAATTTCAATTTTTAAAAAATTATTGTTTATGTTTTAAATTTGGAGAAAAATATATCGCAGCAGCCCAATTCATTTTTGGAAATCAAGTCTTCATAGTTCTTGAATCCGGTAATACCATTCTAATTTCTAATAGTATTTTTGTTTTGTGTCTTATGTTTATTATAATTTTTAGGGATAATACACAAGTACCCCCTAGACTATGACCGAAATCTCAAAGACACACCTAAAATTAACTAGAATCCTCTTACCCCCCTAAACTAATTTAAAATGGAATAAATACACCACAAACGCTGACATGACATAGAGAGTGTGCACACTCTCTTGAAGGCAAGTGATGAGTGCACAAATTGGACACATGTCATTTTTTGATTGGTAACTTTATAATTAGTTAGTACACATATTTATTGATATTAAAAACTTGTATATATTTAATTATTTTTATTTCTTTCTTTGTATAATATTTATTTTAATTTCTTTTCACTTTAATTTTTTTAATTAATTTATTATCTTTTCACTTTTAATTATTTTTTAAAAATTATGTGTATTTTTAAAAAAAAAAATTAAAAAGTGTCCTTTAATTTTAACGTTTTAATTTTTTTTATGTTTTATTTGATTTTCTTCACTTATTTTGATATTCGTTCAAAATTAACTTATTTTAAATACAAGACATTTGGAATTAAATTTGAAATCAAATCAAAACAAAAGACAAAAAAATTAAAATCAATAGAAAAATAAAAGAGAAAAAACAATGAAATGTAGGTAAAAAAAAGTTTCGATACAAGGTAAAAATGTGTATTAACTTAATTTAAATACAAGATAAAGAAAATCAGAATATGTTTTAAAAATTAAAAATTTCATGAAAAATTTTAATTTTTTTTTAATTAAAAAAATAAAATATTAATAATTTTCACAAGTGGCGGGCGAGTGTGTACAAACACAACCTACTTGGGTGGTTGAAGGTGCCACGTCTGCACAAAAGGTGCACAAAAATACGAAAAAAATAAGTTTTTTTTTGGGGGGGGGCGGTAATAGGACCTTAGTTAAATTTAGGTGTGTCTCTAGGACTTCGGTCATAGTCTAGGGGGTACTTTTGCCTTATCCCTATTTTTTATTTTATATTGTACATAGTGTTTAAAATATTTGTTAGATTTTAATATGTCAACTAGAAAATATGAATCCGGTCATTCAAAACTTAAAAGAAAAAGAAAAGTTGATAACTTGATAAAATCTCAAAAAGGTGCTCTTGATAATTTTTTGGAAAACAATGTTAAAATTAAATGGGAAAATGCACAAGTATCCCCCCAACTTATGCCCGAAATCTCGGAGACACACTTATACTATACTGAGGTCCTATTACCCCCTCGAACTTATTTTATAAATAATTTTCTACCCCTTTTCGGCCTACGTGGCACTATTTTGTGGGCCCAACACGTATTGACAATTTTTTCAAGTTATCTGGTTGATAGTGCCACGTAGGCCGAAAAGGGATAGAAAATTATTTATAAAATAAGTTCGGGGGTAATAGGACCTTAATATAGTATAAGTGTGTCTCTGGGATTTCGGGCATAGTTTGGGGGGGGGGGGGTACTTATGCATTTTCCCAAATTAAATAAAAAAAGGTTGGGTAATGCTCTTTAGAAGAACAAGTCACTAACTTAGTTGAAGTTGAGTTAGATAATGATATAAACCAAAAAGAAGAAGAAGGAGAGGAAATTAGCGAAAAGTCGGATGTAGATTCCCAAGAAAATCAAGAACTTATAAATGAATTAAATAATCATACTCCTAAAAATATCTATAATCCTAGTTAATGGAATATTGTTGATACAAAGTTACGAGACTTATTAGTAGAAAAGGGACCAATTAGAATAAAGTCTATAATCATAGTTAATGTCTCAAGAAAGATTAAGTGGTTTGACTATATCATCGATTGAAAAAGAATTTTTAGAAGAGATTGACTACACAAAAATTGTTAACAACTTTGCATCTCAAAAAGCTAAAAAAAATAAATTTAAAATATAAACATATATAATTTTTTTTTAAAGGCCTCTAGTTTGATTTTGGCATTAGGCCACCAACGGCTTTAAGCCGCTCCTGTAAGCCACTTGTTCATTTTCAACAGCTCTGCTCCTTGGATTTTAATATTATTGGATGAACTGTCAATCAATTTGATTCTTCTTTCTGTACGTTGGTGGTGGTGGCCTTTCAAATTCATCGTTAGCCAATTACGACAAGTTGAATAAACAATCTTTTTTAAACTAAAATGATAAACAACAATCTGCCCATGTGAATCATATATATATATATATATATATAATTTTATTATTTTATTACTATAAGTGGAAAGCTCCAAAGTAAAAAAGTTGAATTATCATTTTACCCTTATGCTAAATCCAAATGTTATTTTAAAATATTTAATTAATTAAATAGTAAATAGTAGAATTTCTATAATATTTTTAGTTGGTATACATGTGAGTAAATTAAATAGAAAAAAAATAAAAATAACAATTATCTCTTTAAATAGATACATGTATGTATTTCTTCTTCCAAATTAATTTATATTCTTAATTAATATTTGTCTTTAATTTGTTGCAACTCTTGACCTTTCAACTTTGTAAGTGAATCTTAATATTCCAAAGCTATATTTTTTTCCTATAAATACAAATCTTTCTATAGTATTTCCATAGAAAGATTTATATGTGATACAATTTTTGTGTGTGAAAGATTAGAAAAGCTTTAATCAAGTGAAGAAAATTTCAAGACACGAGGATTTATGTCAAAATTATAAGACATAATGTGATTATAGGGATGAATACCACTTCAATTACTAAAATATCGAAGCTTGATGTATTTATTTTTTATTTATTTACCGAGATTAGAATTATGATAAGACCCCCTCCATATAGTTGAATGTCAATAAAAACAAAGAAAGTGATATAAAGTGAGCAGATTATTGAAAGTTTGATTAATTATCTTGTCTTTTTCCTTCGTGGCAGACAAGTGAGGAGGGCCCATTGTAATTGCTTTCTTACTTTTTTGGAATAACTAGTCCTTAGGAACGTGCGTTGCACGTTTATCCCATATTATTGAATTATTATATAGAAAATATTGAAATTAACAATATTAACTTTATCATTTACATCATATTCATTAAATAAAATTCATAATAGTGGAATGTTTTTTTTTATAATCATAACAGTGGAATGTTGCATTTGCCATCAAGCAAGAAATGTGAAGCTAATTAAGATAATATAACATGTAATGGTATGAATATGTCGATATAACTTATCCTCAATAAT